ATTGTGACGGTGAAGCAGGGATGATTGTGAGCAGGGATGATTGTGACGGTGAAGCAGGGATGATTGTGACGGTGAAGCAGGGATGATTGTGACGGTGAAGCAGGGATGATTGTGACGGTGAGGGAGGGATGATTGTGACGGTGAGGGAGGGATGATTGTGACGGTGAGGGAGGGATGATTGTGACGGTGAAGCAGGGATGATTGTGACGGTGAAGCAGGGATGATTGTGACGGTGAAGCAGGGATGATTGTGACGGTGAAGCAGGGATGATTGTGACGGTGAATCAGGGATGATTGTGACGGTGAGGGAGGGATGATTGTGACGGTGAAGCAGGGATGATTGTGACGGTGAAGCAGGGATGATTGTGACGGTGAGGGAGGGATGATTCTGACGGTGAGGGAGGGATGATTGTGACGGTGAGGGAGGGATGATTGTGACGGTGAAGCAGGGATGATTGTGACGGTGAAGCAGGGATGATTGTGACGGTGAAGCAGGGATGATTGTGACGGTGAAGCAGGGATGATTGTGACGGTGAAGCAGGGATGATTGTGACGGTGAAGCAGGGATGATTGTGACGGTGAAGCAGGGATGATTGTGACGGTGAAGCAGGGAGGATTGTGACGGTGAAGCAGGGAGGATTGTGACGGTGAAGCAGGGATGATTCCCTTATTACAACCACTGTGTGTACTCACCTAATTGTACTCACGTAATTGTGCTTGCGGGGGTTGAGCTCTGGCTCTTTGGTCCCGCCTCTCAACTGTCAATCAACTGATGTACAGGTTCCTGAGCCTACTGGGCTCAGGAATGAGCCCAGTAGTGTGTGTGTGTGTGTGTGTGTGTGTGTGTGTGTGTGTGTGTGTGTGTGTGTGTGTGTGTGTGTGTGTGTGTGTGTGTGTGTGTGAAGGGAAGTTGCAATGGCCTTCACAGATCCGTTACTCGCTGCAGGGACGACAGCACCCCCCCCCCCCACACACACACACCTACTTACCTACCCACACACACACACACACACACACACACACACACACACACACACACACACACACACACACACACTACTGGGCTCATTCCTCATTCTTCCCCCACCAAACAGTAGAAGGCCCAGGCAGGAGTACGAGGACAGCAACAAGACATGTATGGATGAACTGCAGAGGGCAGCAACTTTAGCGCATAGAATGAGAGCGAAGCTGCTGGTCATGGGGGACCTAAATCACGGAGAGATAAATTGGGAAACGAGGAATCCCCATGGCGGGGAGGAGACCTGGGGAGCGAAGCTGGTAGACGTTATTGACAGGAATTTCCTAACACAGCATGTGAAGGAAGATACTAGGGAAAGAGGAGGGGATACGCCCAGCCTATTAGATCTCATTATCACTCAGAATGTAGAAGACATCGAGCAGTTGGAACATGAAATACCACTAGGAGCTAGTGACCATTGTGTCCTAGTCTTTGACTACATGATGGAGCTTAAAATTGTGACCAAAGGACAAGAGGTCCGGGAAAGGAGACTTGATTACAGAAAAGGGGACTACAGAAGGATAAGGGACTACCTGGGAGAAGTGCAGTGGGAGGAAGAACTTAGAGGAAAAACAGTGCAAGGTATGATGAACCAAGTCATATTGAAATGCAAGGAGGCTGAAGATAGATTTATTCCAACAATAAAGGAAAAAAGCAGGAGGGAATATAATAACCCATGGTTTAATAGACAGTGTCAGGAAGCAAAGGTGAGAAGCAGGAGGGAGTGGAGGAAGTACAGAAGACAAAGGACAGAGGACAACAGGATTAGATGTAACAGAGCTAGGAATGATTACATTAACATAAGACGAGTGTCGGAAAGGAATTATGAGAACGATATTGCAGTCAAAGCGAAAAAGCAACCAAAATTACTACATAGCCATATAAGAAGGAAGATGTCGGTAAATGACCAAGTGACAAGACTGAGGAAAACAGAAGGGGCATATACAGAAAGCGACAAGGAAATCTGCGAGGTACTGAATGCAAAATTCCATGGAGTGTTCACAACCGAGCCTGAGCAGCTCCCATTGTTAGAAGAGATTACCCAAGATGAAAGACTATCGGATATAGAGGTGACAGCAGAGGATGTAATGAAACGGTTGACAACACTGGATGCAAATAAAGCTGTTGGACCAGACAAAGTATCACCGTGGATACTCAAAGAGGCAGCGCAGGCTCTCAGCGTGCCTCTGGCAATGATCTTTAATGAGTCACTTATGTCGGGAGAATTGCCCAGTTGCTGGAAGGAGGCAAATGTCGTACCGATTTTCAAAAAGGGTGATAGGGAGGAGGCACTTAACTACAGACCCGTATCACTGACAAGCATCCCCTGCAAAATACTTGAAAGAATAATTAGGCTAAGACTTGTTGAGCACCTGGAGAGCATTGGGTTTGTAAACAAGCACCAACATGGGTTCTGGACAGGGAAATCATGCCTAACAAACCTTTTAGAATTCTATGATAAAGTAACAAGGATAAGGCAGGACAGAGAAGGCTGGGCAGACTGCATATTTCTTGACCGACGAGGCTTGTCCCAGAGCTACGAGGGATGGGATATGAAGAGCGGCTGAAGGAACTGACACGACACACACACACACACACACACACTGGAAACTCAGATGAGGCCTGGTAGCCTGGTGGATAGCGCGCAGGACTCCAAGTAATTCTGTGGCGCGGGTTCGATTCCCGCACCAGGCAGAAACAAATGGGCAAAGTTTCTTTCACCCTGAATGCCCCTGTTACCTAGCAGTAAATAGGTACCTGGGAGTTAGTCAGCTGTCACGGGCTGCTTCCTCGGGGGGGGGGGGGGGGTGTGGAGAAAAATAATAGTAGTAGTAAACAGTTGATTGACAGTTGAGATGCGGCCGAAAGAGTAAAGCTCAACCCCCGCAAACACAACTAGGTGAATACACACACACACAGAGCGCGTCATAGAGCCCAGTAGGCTCAGGAACCTGTACATCACTTGATTGACGGTTGAGAGGCGGGACCAAAGAGCCAGAGCTCAACCCCCGGAAGCACAACTAGGTGAGCGCACGCACGCGCACACCCGCCCCACACGTATTAATTGAATTCTATGACCAAGCGACAGCACTCAGGCAAGAAAGAGAATGGTGGGCAGACTGCATTTTCTAGGGAGTACCTAAGCAACAGAAGACAGAGTCACTGTGAGGGGTGAGGTCTCGGAGTGGCGAGATGTCACTAGCAGAGTCCAACTAAGGGTGACTTCCTAGATTATACTGGAGGCCGAGTTTATACACAGTTTGAAATGTAGACATGATAGAGCCCAATGGGCTCAGAAACCTGTACACCAGTTGATTGACAGTTGAGAGGCTGTGGCTAAAGAGCTGAAGCTCAACCCCCTGCAATAGCAATTAAGTGAGAGCAAGCGAACGCATCCACACACGCACGTTAGGTCTAACAAGCACTGGAGGTACCCAAGCTCTTAGTCTGTCTCATATCCCTCCTGACAGCTACCCTACCAGACCTGCTTAAACCGTGTGTGTGTTGTTAGCTTAACATAAATGTGTCTCTCTAAGCCAAAACATATAACATTCTCTAATTGATATTATACAAGAGTGATGAAAGGTTTTAACATGGGAGACACAGGTGGGATGGTTAAGGTCTTAGGCTTCCATTCTCTGTCCTTGGTGGCTAGGAGGGGGGGGGGGGGAGTGGGGATGGGTAGAGGGGAGCCGGTCGGCCGAGCGGACAGCACGCTGGACTTGTGATCCTGTGGTCCCGGGTTCGATCCCCGGCGCTGGCGAGAAATAATGGGCAGAGTTTCTTTCACCCTATGCCCCTGTTACCTAGCAGTAAAATAGGTACCTGGGTGTTAGTCAGCTGTCACGGGCTGCTTCCTGGGGGTGGAGGCCTGGTCGAGGACCGGGCCGCGGGGACACTAAAAGCCCCGAAATCATCTCAAGATAAAGGGGGGGGGGGGTTAAAGGGCATAATTTTTTGTCAAAATTTGTCTACATAAATTTGTATATTATTATTATTTGGAGTAATACTTATGAACTACTAGCTTGTTACTACTAGTGGCCTATAGTTGTAACTAGAGGCCACTAGTAGTTGTAACTATAGACAGCTACCACCTCACCTGTAGAGGGTTTCGAGAGGTCTTCTACTACCCAAGTCGTATGGGCGGGCGGGGTTCTCTAGTGACCACATGATCAGCAAGGCTGTTGTTGTCAGCGTGGGGCATGGAGATGCAAGCCACCCCAAGGACTCCAGGTCCAACTGGCCCTCTGCATGCTGGTCACGTGATCCATGGGGGGGGGCTTGGTTATGTGGTGATTGTTACAATACTGGTTTAAAGTCCTCATTATTATCTTGTACCTGTTGTTGGTTCGGGGATCATCGTCCCCGCGGCCCGGTCTCTGACCAGGCCTCCTGGTTCGGTCAACCAGGCTGTTGGACTCGCTGCTCGCAGCCTGATGGATGATTCACAGCCTGGTTGATCAGGTATCCTTGTGACCTGTTTATCAAGTTTTAAGTTTATTGCGGAAATCCTGGGTACAGTGACGTCATCCCAGGATAACAGCTGGGTACAGTGACGTAATCCCATGATAACAGCTGGGTACAGTGACGTAATCCCATGATAACAGCTGGGTACAGTGACGTAATCCCATGATAACAGCTGGGTACAGTGACGTAATCCCATGATAACAGCTGGGTACAGTGACGTAATCCCATGATAACAGCTGGGTACAGTGACGTAATCCCATGATAACAGCTGGGTACAGTGACGTAATCCCATGATAACAGCTGGGTACAGTGACGTAATCCCATGATAACAGCTGGGTACAGTGACGTAATCCCAGGATAACAGCTGGGTACAGTGACGTAATCCCAGGATAACAGCTGGGTACAGTGACGTAATCCCATGATAACAGCTGGGTACAGTGACGTAATCCCAGGATAACAGCTGGGTACAGTGACGTAATCCCAGGATAACCTTTGTTTTTTCCCCCATTCCACAGAAAGTTATCATTAGTGAAGTGATCACGATGCAAGTAGTCATAGTTGAAGTGATCAAGCTGATGACTATGCGTGTGTATAAGGCCTAACCCCGTGGGTGGAAGGTGGTGACCCAGGTTCGAGTCCCAGGTGGTGGGAGTGTGGGCCGGAGGGTCGGGGACTATGGCGGTGCAAGTGGCATCAGATCAACATGATAAGTGAAGTGTTATCGCGGGTGGTGGTGCTATCGCAGGAGGTGGCCCGCTCTCTGGGGGTCATGTGGCCCCACAATGAGGGCCGCGAGCATGACCTGGGGGAGTGCGCCCCCAGGTGGACTAGCCCCACGGATATGGCGGCTCTGGGGAGTGTTGTGTGCGTGCCCCCCTCCCCGCACTCGCGTGCGTCTCCCCTCACAAGACTCCTGCCCTCTCTCCCGCGCTGTGATACTAGCGATAAGGATTGTGATGTTGTGAGGGCTGGGTTGCCATGTTGCTACATGGATGATCTCCATGAGGCGACGGCTCCCTCATCTCTCACCAGACTCCACCTCCCCCTCACGGACCCCAGGTGTGATAGTGACAATGATAGTGGCCTGGTCAGTTGCGGTGATAGTGAACACACTCATACTCACGAGGCGGGGGATACGCCCTTACCGCCCTTCCTTTTGTGTGATAGTGATATTCCAGTCCTTTCCGCCGCCCCCGTCACGGATTCACCCGTTCCGTTCCGTCCAGACTATGACGACGCCGTGGCACTCAGCATGGGTCATTTGGCACCCAAATACCACACCCACACGCCCACAGCCTTCACCAACTACCACAGCTCGGCTGATCACCTCCCCAACCCCTGGTCGAGGCCGCGCAGCAGCCGCTACGAGGACCAGGGCTTCGGGGAGCAGACTAGACGAGACCACTTGACCCTCAGTGACCCTCATCAAGACCACGCGGTCTTTAGCGACCCGAGTCCCGTCTTGGACAACGACTCCAGCACCAGCTACACCATCGTCACCCCAACCACCACGAAAGAGCGGGCAGCGGAGGTGAGGAGTAGTGGTGGGGTGGAGGAGGGGGGGGAAGATTACCTCGGTCACGTGGATAACTTTCAGTACCCGCCGCCACCCCCGCCACACCCCACCAACCCCTTCGATTCCTGCTTCAAGAACTCTCTCAATTCCAGAAGCCGACGCTTCCGACTCGGGAAGGTAAGCCCTCAAGTTCTTGTTGCGATGTCGGTCGGTCAGCCGCCTCGCTCTCTAGCTATCGTAGTGTTAGGATTGTAGCGTCATAGTAGTAGGATTGTAGCCATCGTAGTGGTAGGATTGTAGCGTCATAGTAGTAGGATTGTAGCCATCGTAGTGGTAGGATTGTAGCGCCATAGTAGTAGGATTGTAGCCATCATAGTGGTAGGATTGTAGCGTCATAGTAGTAGGATTGTAGCCATCGTAGTGGTAGGATTGTAGCGTCATAGTAGTAGGATTGTAGCCATCGTAGTGGTAGGATTGTAGCGTCATAGTAGTAGGATTGTAGCCATCGTAGTGGTAGGATTGTAGCGTCATAGTAGTAGGATTGTAGCCTTCGTAGTGGTAGGATTGTAGCGTCATAGTAGTAGGATTGTAGCCATCGTAGTGGTAGGATTGTAGCGTCATAGTAGTAGGATTGTAGCCATCGTAGTGGTGGTAGTTGTAACAGCAGGATATGAAGAGCGGTTCATTAGAGCAGGATGTGGGACCAGAAGAGGAGAAATAGGACTCTGGGTTCGATCCCAGGCGCCGGCGAGAAACAATGGGCAGAGTTTCTTTCACCCTATGCCCCTGTTACCTAGCAGTAAAATAGGTACCTGGGTGTTAGTCAGCTGTCACGGGCTGCTTCCTGGGGGTGGAGGCCTGGTCGAGGACCGGGCCGCGGGGACACTAAAGCCCCGAAATCATCTCAAGATAACCTCAAGATAGCGGGTGAGGAGCCTGAACACCACCTTACAGACGCCTGCGGCTTGGTACCATTACAAGTGCTCTTTGATCTCTCACCCAGCTACCACAAGTGAGGTAATGGGCCCAAGAGCTTATCATTGTTCATTGTCGAAGGGGCGTAATTTTTATTCCAGACAACTCTTGAGAGTAAAATAGATTTTAACACATTAATGTCTCAATAGTTTAGATGTTTTATTGAGTGGATTCTTGTAGTAAAGACTGTACAGTGTACTCTAAACATAAGGATTCTAAGTAACCCACTTTTTGTGGTGGTTAAAAGGGAACCTGAAAACAACTGTAAAGAATAACTGATCAACTAGGCTATGATTCATACGTCAGACTGAAAGCAGCTGCGTCCAACAGCCTGGATGACCGGGCCGTGGGGACATTGATCCCCGGAACCAACAACAGGAAGATAGTCAACAAGTAGGTAGCCCCTCCCTGCCCACACAAGCCCTTCCCCCATCTCTCTTCCTGTCCTCACCCCCCTCCCCCATCACCCCCCACGCCCCTCGCCCATCACGCCCATCCCCCCCACGCCCCTCGCCCATCACCCCCCACGCCCCTCGCCCATCCCCCCCACGCCCCTCGCCCACCCCCCTCCCCCTCCCCCAAGAAGTGCCGGACTCACCGGGCTGTAGTGGATATGTAGGCCTGCGGGCCGCTCTAAACAACAGCCTGTTGGACCAACTTAAGTCGAGCCTGGCCTCAGGCTGGGCTGAAGGAGTCAAAACTCGCGAAACCCCCTTCAGGTATGCCCCAGGTATAACCTCGCTGCTCACACGTGCCCGGCGCCCATCCGGCTGTAACCAGCGGTTCCTGTAAGAGGTTGTGCCCTTAATGCAAATCTGTTATCTAAACGAAATTGAAAGTAAATATCTGAATTCACGATTATTTGTAACTCTTGCTAAAGTCTATGGATTTTGGGCTGAACATTTCACATGCAGAGACTTTGTGGAGAGGCATTGTGGTGACGCCTTCAGGAAGCGCTGGACCCACCCCGACCCCCGTGACACTACAGATGAAGTTATTATTGATCCTGTAAGTTTGTTTATTGCTAAACACGCACTGTGATCTCCATACTTGGACACACATTCTTTTGTACATGGTCGGAGACCGGACCGCGGGGACCTTGATCCCCGGAATCAACTCGTGGTAGTAGATGGCAGCCTACCAGCTTCAGACAATTGGCTTGTAAACTAAGGACTTCGGGCGTGAGAAACTCACATGTTTTATTGGGAAGACGCTTATGGCACGTCTGTGTAGCTGGCGGTGTAGGCCAGACACCGGCTCTAGGGAGCCGGTGGCTGAGCGGACAGAACACTGGACGCGTGATCCTGTGGTCCCTGGTTCGATCCCGGGCGCCGGCGAGAAACAATGGGCAAAGGTTCTTTCACCCTGATGTCCCTGTTATCTAGCAGTAAATAGGTACCTGGGAGTTAGTCAGTTGTCACGGGCTGCTTCCTGGGGGTGGAGGCCTGGTCGAGGACCGGGCCGAGGGGACACTAAGCCCCGAAATCATCTCAAGATAACCTCAAGAGAGGCCAGTGTGCTTCATCACGTGTGATTCACAGTCAGGTCTGAACATGTTTGGTTCAGTTGAACACTTAGAGATACGAACATGTTAACTATGTTCACAGATTAGTTAAGTGGCTGGAATGTTCTGTAAATGCCTGAGTCAAGTCCTTAACTGCCAGTAAACTGGAAACTGGCGGAAAATGGCCAATAAGCAATTTGTCGCTCCAGTTAATTTGACTTAGGGAATCGGAGCGGAAATTGGAATGGTGGAGGTAGGTGTTCTCAGGGTGGTTGTTGGACCGTTGGTGGTTGTTGGACCGTTGGTGGTTGTTGGACCGTTGGTGGTTGTTGGACCGTTGGTGGTTGTTGGACCGTTGGTGGTTGTTGGACCGTTGGTGGTTGTTGGACCGTTGGTGGTTGTTGGACCGTTGGTGGTTGTTGGACCCTGGGTGGTTGTTGGATCCTGGGGTGGTTGTTGGACCCCAGGATGGTTGTTGGATCCTGGGGTGGTTGTTGGACCGTTGGTGGTTGTTGGACCGTTGGTGGTTGTTGGACCGTTGGTGGTTGTTGGACCGTTGGTGGTTGTTGGACCCTGGGTGGTTGTTGGACCGTTGGTGGTTGTTGGACCCCGGGGTGGTTGTTGGACCCTGGGTGGTTGTTGGACCCTGGGGTGGTTGTTGGACCCTGGGGTGGTTGTTGGACCCTGGGTGGTTGTTGGACCGTTGGTGGTTGTTGGACCCTGGGTGGTTGTTGGATCCTGGGGTGGTTGTTGTACCGTTGGTGGTTGTTGGACCCTGGGTGGTTGTTGGATCCTGGGGTGGTTGTTGGACCCCAGGATGGTTGTTGGATCCTGGGGTGGTTGTTGGACCCGGGGGTGGTTGTTGGACCTGGGGTGGTTGTTGGACCCGGGGGTGGTTGTTGGACCCCTGGGGTGGTTGTTGGATCCTGGGGTGGTTGTTGGACCCCAGGGTGGTTGTTGGACCCTGGGGTGGTTGTTGGACCCTGGGGTGGTTGTTGGACCTGGGGTGGTTGTTGGACCCGGGGGTGGTTGTTGGACCCCAGGGTGGTTGTTGGACCCCGGGGTGGTTGTTGGACCCCGGGGTGGTTGTTGGACCCCGGGGTGGTTGTTGGACCCGAGGGTGGTTGTTGGACCCGAGGGTGGTTGTTGGACCCTGGGGTGGTTGTTGGACCCTGGGGTGGTTGTTGGACCCCGGGGTGGTTGTTGGACCCTGGGGTGGTTGTTGGACCCCGGGGTGGTTGTTGGACCCCGGGGTGGTTGTTGAACCCCGGGGGGGGGTGGTTGTTGGACCCGGGGGTGGTTGTTGGACCCGGGGGTGGTTGTTGGACCCTGGGGTGGTTGTTGGACCCTGGGGGTGGTTGTTGGACCCTGGGGGTGGTTGTTGGACCCTGGGGGTGGTTGTTGGACCCTGGGGGTGGTTGTTGGACCCCTGGGTGGTTGTTGGACCCCGGGGTGGTTGTTGGACCCCGGGGGTGGTTGTTGGACCCCGGGGTGGTTGTTGGACCCGGGGATGGTTGTTGGACCCCGGGGTGGTTGTTGGAACCGGGGTGGTTGTTGGAACCGGAGTGGTTGTTGGACCCTGGGGTGGTTGCTGGACCCCGGGGGTTGTTGCTGGACCCCGGGGGTGGTTGCTGGACCCCGGGGGTGGTTGCTGGACCCCGGGGGTGGTTGCTGGACCCCGGGGGTGGTTGTTGGACCCCGGGGGTGGTTGTTGGACCCGGGGGGTGGTTGTTGGACCCGGGGGGGTGGTTGTTGGACCCGGGGGGGGGGTGGTTGTTGGACCGGGGGGTGGTTGTTGGACCCGGGGGATGGTTGTTGGACCGGGGGGGGGTGGTGGCTGCCCAATTAATTACCATTATGATCGTAACTGAATGACTGAGAAGGTGTAGTTAGGCGACGAATGGAAAGGGAGGTGGTATAGGGTTGTGGGGGGGGGGGGAAGGGTGGGGGTGGGGGGGGGAGGGGAGGGGGGTGAAGATGCCGAGCGTGTGTGTTTAATTTGGTTAGTGAGAGTTGGGGTGGGGGGAGGGGGGGTGACCTCTGGCGGGCCATTGACCAAGCAGGGAGCCGCTGTGCTGGGGGTCGTCACCCCCTCCACCACCACCACTGCACGCAGTAATGCTCACTTACTGACCCGGGGCCAGATTCACGAAAGCACTTATGCAAGCACTTACGAACGTGTACATCTTTCCTCAATCTTTGACGGCTTTGGTTACATTTATTAAACAGTTTACAAGCATGAAAACTTCCCAATCAACTGTTGTTATTGTTATAAACAGCCTCCTGGTGCTTCGGAGCTCATTAACTGTTTAAAAATTGTAAACAAAGCCGCCAAAGATTGAGAAAAGATGTACAGGTTCTTAAGTCCTCGCGTAACTGCTTCGTGAATCTGGCTCCAGCACTGTAAGACGGTGAGCAGATGGTCTCTACGCCGCTTCTGTGGTTCTGGCCAGTAAGTCACTACCTGTGTTCTGGAACACCTCACTAAATGAACAAATCCACAAGGGCCGTGACGAGGATTCGAACCTGCGTCCGGGAGCATCCCAGACACTGCCTTAATCGACCGAGCTACGACAGGGTAAAAGAGTTAGAGACCTCAGTAACCTTACTCTGCTCGACACATGAAGATATATGTATGCTGGTTACACATGTGACACACACCTGTATATACCTGTAGGTGGCTTCCAGAGTTGTCCTG